GTGTGTGTGTGTGTGTGTGTGTGTGTGTGTGTGTGTGTGTGTGTGTGTGTGTGTGTGTGTGTGTGTGTGTGTGTGTGTGTGTGTGTGTGTGTGTGTGTGTGTGTGTGTGTGTGTGTGTGTGTGTGTGTGTGTGTGTGTGTGTGTGTGTGTGTGTGTGTGTGTGTGTGTGTGTGTGTGTGTGTGTGTGTGTGTGTGTGTGTGTGTGTGTGTGTGTGTGTGTGTGTGTGTGTGTGTGTGTGTGTGTGTGTGTGTGTGTGTGTCTGTGTGTGTGAGTGTGTGTGTGTGTGTGTGTGTGTGTGTGTGTGTGTGTGTGTGTGTGTGTGTGTGTGTGTGTGTGTGTGTGTGTGTGTGTGTGTGTGTGTGTGTGTGTGTGTGTGTGTGTGTGTGTGTGTGTGTGTGTGTGTGTGTGTGTGTGTGTGTGTGTGTGTGTGTGTGTGTGTGTGTGTGTGTGTGTGTGTGTGTGTGTGTGTGTGTGTGTGTGTGTGTGTGTGTGTGTGTGTGTGTGTGTGTGTGTGTGTGTGTGTGTGTGTGTGTGTGTGTGTGTGTGTGTGTGTGTGTGTGAGTGTGTGTGTGTGTGTGTATGTGTGTGTGTGTGTGTGAGTGTGTGTGTGTGTGTGTGTGTGTGTGTGTGTGTGTGTGTGAGTGTGTGTGTACTCACCTATTTGTACTCACCTATTTGTGCTTGCAGGATCGAGCATTGACTCTTGGATCCCGCCTTTCCAGCTATCGGTTGTTTACAGCAATGACTCCTGTCCCATTTCCCTATCATACCTAGTTTTAAAAGTATGAATAGTATTTGCTTCCACAACCTGTTCCCCAAGTGCATTCCATTTTTCTACTACTCTCACGCTAAAAGAAAACTTCCTAACATCTCTGTGACTCATCTGAGTTTCCAGTTTCCACCCATGTCCCCTCGTTCTGTTATTATTACGTGTGAACATTTCATCTATTTCCACTTTGTCAATTCCCCTGAGTATTTTATATGTCCCTATCATATCTCCTCTCTCCCTTCTTTTCTCTAGTGTCGTAAGGTTCAGTTCCTTCAGCCGCTCTTCATATCCCATCCCTCGTAACTCTGGGACAAGCCTCGTCGCAAACCTCTGAACCTTCTCCAGTTTCTTTATGTGTTTCTTCAGGTGTGTGTGTGTGTGTACTCACCTATATGTACTCACCTATATGTGCTTGCAGGATCGAGCATTGACTCTTGGATCCCGCCTTTCTAGCTATCGGTTGTTTACAGCAATGACTCCTGTCCCATTTCCCTATCATACCTAGTTTTAAAAGTATGAATAGTATTTGCTTCCACAACCTGTTCCCCAAGTGCATTCCATTTTTCTACTACTCTCACGCTAAAAGAAAACTTCCTAACATCTCTGTGACTCATCTGAGTTTCCAGTTTCCACCCATGTCCCCTCGTTCTGTTATTATTACGTGTGAACATTTGATCTATTTCCACTTTGTCAATTCCCCTGAGTATTTTATATGTCCCTATCATATCTCCTCTCTCCCTTCTTTTCTCTAGTGTCGTAAGGTTCAGTTCCTTCAGCCGCTCTTCATATCCCATCCCTCGTAGCTCTGGGACAAGCCTCGTCGCAAACCTCTGAACCTTCTCCAGTTTCTTTATGTGTTTCTTCAGGTGGGGGCTCCATGATGGCGCGGCATACTCTAAGACGGGTCTCACGTAGGCAGTGTAAAGCGCCCTAAAAGCTTCCTCATTTAGGTTTCTGAATGAAGTTCTAATTTTCGCCAGTGTAGAGTACGCTGCTGTCGTTATCCTATTTATATGTGCCTCAGGAGTTAGATTAGGTGTCACATCCACTCCCAGGTCTCTTTCTCGAATCGTTACAGGTAGGCTGTTCCCCTTCATTGTGTACTGTCCCTTTGGTCTCCTGTCACCTGATCCCATTTCCATAACTTTACATTTACTGGTGTTAAACTCCAGTAGCCATTTCTCTGACCATCTCTGCAGCCTGTTTAAGTCCTCTTGGAGGATCCTACAATCCTCGTCTGTCACAACTCTTCTCATTAATTTTGCGTCATCTGCAAACATTGACATGTATGACTCCACTCCTGTAAACATATCATTTACGTAAATTAGAAAGAGGATTGGTCCCAGCACCGATCCTTGAGGTACTCCACTTGTTACTGTTCGCCAGTCCGACTTTTCGCCCCTTACCATTACCCTCTGGCTCCTTCCTGTTAGGTAGTTCTTCACCCATACTAGGGCCTTTCCGCTTACTCCTGCCTGCCTCTCAAGTTTGTATAGCAGTCTCATGTGCGGTACCGTATCAAAGGCCTTTTGGCAGTCAAGAAATATGCAGTCTGCCCAGCCTTCTCTGTCCTGCCTTATCCTTGTTACTTTATCATAGAATTCTAAAAGGTTTGTTAGGCATGATTTCCCTGTCCAGAACCCATGTTGGTGCTTGTTTACAAACCCAATGCTCTCCAGGTGCTCAACAAGTCTTAGCCTAATTATTCTTTCAAGTATTTTGCAGGGGATGCTTGTCAGTGATACGGGTCTGTAGTTAAGTGCCTCCTCCCTATCCCCCTTTTTGAAAATCGGTACGACATTTGCCTTCTTCCAGCAACTGGGCAATTCTCCCGACATAAGTGACTCATTGAAGATCATTGCCAGAGGCACGCTGAGAGCCTGCGCTGCCTCTTTAAGTATCCACGGTGATACTTTGTCTGGTCCAACAGCTTTATTTGCATCCAGTGTTGTCAACTGTTTCATTACATCCTCTGCTGTCACCTCTATATCTGATAGTCTTTCATCTTGGGTAATCTCTTCTAACAATGGGAGCTGCTCAGGCTCGGTAGTGAACACTCCATGGAATTTTGCATTCAGTACCTCGCAGATTTCCTTGTCGCTTTCTGTATATGCCCCTTCTGTTTTCCTCAATCTTGTCACTTGGTCATTTACCGACATCTTCCTTCTTATATGGCTATGTAGTAATTTTGGTTGCTTTTTCGCTTTGACTGCAATATCGTTCTCATAATTTCTTTCCGACACTCGTCTTATGTTAATGTAATCATTCCTAGCTCTGTTACATCTAATCCTGTTGTCCTCTGTCCTTTGTCTTCTGTACTTCCTCCACTCCCTCCTGCTTCTCACCTTTGCTTCCTGACACTGTCTATTAAACCATGGGTTATTATATTCCCTCCTGCTTTTTTCCTTTATTGTTGGAATAAATCTATCTTCAGCCTCCTTGCATTTCAATATGACTTGGTTCATCATACCTTGCACTGTTTTTCCTCTAAGTTCTTCCTCCCACTGCACTTCTCCCAGGTAGTCCCTTATCCTTCTGTAGTCCCCTTTTCTGTAATCAAGTCTCCTTTCCCGGACCTCTTGTCCTTTCGTCACAATTTTAAGCTCCATCATGTAGTCAAAGGCTAGGACACAATGGTCACTAGCTCCTAGTGGTATTTCATGTTCCAACTGCTCGATGTCTTCTACATTCTGAGTGATAATGAGATCTAATAGGCTGGGCGTATCCCCTCCTCTTTCCCTAGTATCTTCTTTCACATGCTGTGTTAGGAAATTCCTGTCAATAACGTCTACCAGCTTCGCTACCCAGGTCTCCTCCCCGCCATGTGGATTCCTCGTTTCCCAATCTATCTCTCCGTGATTTAGGTCCCCCATGACCAGCAGCTTCGCTCTCATTCTATGCGCTAAAGTTGCTGCCCTCTGCAGTTCATCCATACATGTCTTGTTGCTGTCCTCGTACTCCTGCCTGGGCCTTCTACTGTTTGGTGGGGGATTGTAGAGTATCAAGATCACACATGTGTGTGTGTGTGTGTGTGTGTGTGTGTGTGTGTGTGTGTGTGTGTGTGTGTGTGTGTGTGTGTGTGTGTGTGTGTGTGTGTGTGTGTGTGTGTGTGTGTGTGTGTGTGTTTACCATGTGCTTGTAGAATCGAGCTTTTAGCGCTTGGACCCCGCCTTTCCAACCGATCTGTTTTGTCCTCTATATCTATTATATATATTTATCTCTAACACATACACACACACACACACACACACACACACACACACACATATGCATGAAGCAGTCAGAAGAATAGGTTTCTTAGCCTATTCAGCCCTATCAAATCTACTCCACCACATCACTGCCTAATACACTCCATTTGGTAACTGTTCGGACACTGAAAAATTATTTCTAATGTCTCTGTGGCTCATATGAGCACTGAGTTTTCACCTGTGTCCCCTTGCTCGTGTACTCACCTACTTGTGTTTACGGGGGTTGAGCTTCGGCTCTTTGGTCCCGCCTCTCATCTGTAACGCGTGTGTGTGTAGGTAAACTTGAGATGAAGAGAGAGTGACAAAGCCCACCACAAGAGGCAGCAGGTACGGGTGTGGGCTAGCGGGAAGCCCCACCTCCCAGTTCTGGCAACACACTCCCCTATTGTACCCATTATGTTGTGCAATTATTCACCCGAACCATATACAGTCATTACGCGTGGGAGAGGTGGTGAAGGACCCAACAACCTGGGCGCCCATCTCCCACACGGAGAAGTCTCTCCTTCAGCAAGGACAAAGTATATGAGGGACTTGCGCTACCGTTGCATACAAATATACTCGTAATAATACCCACATATGCATACAATACACTCATACATTATGCAACGGTTCATGCCTCACAGGGGTGTCGCATGTGTTCATCATTCATCATTACAACAACAATGTATGGTAACACACTAACAAAATTTGACTTCTGTCTGTAGAGCGTTGATACTGATGATTTGGAGTGGACTTTCAGTGAGGGGAAACATGGCTCCGCTTCACTTGTGTATACGATCCTAGCTATGTTGATGTCACAGTGTTGATGTCACAGTGTTGATGTCTCAGTGTTGATGTCACAGTGATGATGTCAGAGTGTTGATGTCACAGTGTTGAGTGTCGCGCTGTGCTTGTTACACAGCGCTTCGTCAAGAAATTTAAATCACTTGTTTTTATGCAGTGTTCTTGTGAATGTGGCACTGTTCTTGTGGTTGTAGCACTGTTATTGTGGCTGTGGCACTGTTCTTGTGGCTGTGGCACTGTTCTTGTGGCTGTGGCACTGTTCTTGTGGATGTGGCACTGTTATTGTGGCTGTGGTACTGTTATTGTGGCTGTGGCACTGTTCTTGTGGATGTGGCACTGTTCTTCTGGCTGTGGCACTGTTATTGTGGCTGTGGCACTGTTCTTGTGGCTGTGGCACTGTTCTTGTGGCTGTGGCACTGTTCTTGTGGCTGTGGCACTGTTCTTGTGGCTGTGGCACTGTTCTTGTGGTTGTGGCACTGTTCTTGTGGCTGTGGCACTGTTCTTGTGGCTGTGGCACTGTTCTTGTGGCTGTGGCACTGTTCTTGTGAATGTGGCACTGTTCTTGTGAATGTGGCACTGTTCTTGTGGCTGTAGCACTGTTCTTGTGGCTGTGACACTGTTCTTGTGGCTGTGGAACTGTTCTTGTGGCTGTGGCACTGTTCTTGCGGCTGTGGCACTGTTCTTGTAGCTGTGGCACTGTTCTTCTGGCTGTGGTACTGTTCTTGTGAATGTGGCACTGTTCTTGTGAATGTGGCACTGTTCTTCTGGCTGTGGTACTGTTATTGTGGCTGTGGCACTGTTCTTGTGGATGTGGCACTGTTCTTGGTGCTGTGGCACTGTTCTTGCGGCTGTGGCACTGTTCTCGTGGCTGTGTCACTGTTCTTGTGGCTGTGGCACTGTTCTTGTGGCTGTGGCACTGTTCTTGTGAATGTGGCACTGTTCTTGTGAATGTGGCACTGTTCTTGTGGCTGTAGCACTGTTCTTGTGGCTGTGGCACTGTTCTTGTGGCTGTGACACTGTTCTTGTGGCTGTGGCACTGTTCTTGTGGCTGTGGCACTGTTCTTGTGAATGTACTCACCTAGTTGTGTTTGCGGGGGTTGAGCTCTGGCTCTTTGGTCCCGCCTCTCAATCGTCAATCAACAGGTGTACAGATTCCTGAGCCTACTGGGCTCTATCATATCTACATTTGAAACTGTGTATGGAGTCAGCCTCCACCACATCACCCCCTAATGCATTCCATTTGTCAACCACTCTGACACTAAAAAAGTTCTTTCTAATATCTCTGTGGCTCATTTGGGCACTCAGTTTCCACCTTTGTCCCCTTGTGTTAAATAGCCTGTCTTTATCTACCCTATCAATTCCCTTCAGAATCTTGAATGTGGTGATCATGTCCCCCTAACTCTTCTGTCTTCCAGCGAAGTGAGGTTTAATTCCCGTAGTCTCTCCTCGTAGCTCATACCTCTCAGCTCGGGTACTAGTCTGGTGGCAAACCTTTGAACCTTTTCCAGTTTAGTCTTATCCTTGACTAGATATGGACTCCATGCTGGGGCTGCATACTCCAGGATTGGCCTGACATATGTGGTATACAAAGTTCTGAATGATTCTTTACACAAGTTTCTGAATGCCGTTCGTATGTTGGCCAGCCTGGCATATGTCGCTGATGTTATCTGCTTGATATGTGCTGCAGGAAACAGGTCTGGCGTGATATCAACCCCCAAGTCTTTTTCCTTCTCTGACTCCTGAAGAATTTCCTCTCCCAGATGATACCTTGTATCTGGCCTCCTGCTCCCTACACCTATCTTCATTACATTACATTTGGTTGGGTTAAACTCTAACAACCATTTGTTCGACCATTCCTTCAGCTTGTCTAGGTCTTCTTGAAGCCTCAAACAGTCCTCTTCTGTTTTAATCCTTCTCATAATTTTAGCATCGTCCGCAAACATTGAGAGAAATGAATCGATACCCTCCGGGAGATCATTTACATATATCAGAAACAAGATAGGACCGAGTACAGAGCCCTGTGGGACTCCACTGGTGACTTCACGCCAATGGGAGGTCTCACCCCTCACCGTAACTCTCTGCTTCCTATTGCTTAGATACTCCCTTATCCACTGGAGCACCTTACCAGCTACACCTGCCTGTCTCTCCAGCTTATGTACCAGCCTCTTATGCGGTACTGTGTCAAAGGCTTTCCGACAATCCAAGAAAATGCAGTCCGCCCAGCCCTCTCTTTCTTGCTTAATCTTTGTCACCTGATCGTAAAATTCTATCAAGCCTGTAAGGCAAGATTTACCCTCCCTGAACCCATGTTGGCGATTTGTCACGAAGTCCCTTCTCTCCAGATGTGTTACCAGGTTTTTTCTCACGATCTTCTCCATCACCTTGCATGGTATACAAGTCAAGGACACTGGCCTGTAGTTCAGTGCCTCTTGCCTGTCGCCCTTTTGGTGGCACTGTTCTTGTGAATGTGGCACTGTTCTCGTGGCTGTGGTACTGTTCTTGTGGCTGTGACACTGTTCTTGTGGCTGTGGCACTGTTCTTGTGGCTGTGGCACTGTTCTTGGTGCTGTGGCACTGTTCTTGTGGCTGTGGCACTGTTCTTGTGGTTGTGGCACTGTTCTTGTGGTTGTGGCACTGTTCTTGTGGCTGTGGCACTGTTCTTGTGGCTGTGGCACTGTTCTTGTGGCTGTGGCACTGTTCTTGTGGTTGTGGCACTGTTCTTGTGGTTGTGGCACTATTCTTGTGGTTGTGGCACTGTTCTCGTGGCTGTGGCACTGTTCTCGTGGCTGTGGCACTGTTCTCGTGACTGTGGCACTGTTCTCGTGGCTGTGGCACTGTTCTCGTGGCTGTGGCACTGTTCTCGTGGCTGTGGCACTGTTCTCGTGGCTGTGGCACTGTTCTCGTGGCTGTGGCACTGTTCTCGTGGCTGTGGCACTGTTCTTGTGGTTGTGGCACTGTTCTTGTGGCTGTGGCACTGTTCTTGTGGCTGTGGCACTGTTTTCGTGGCTGTGGCACTGTTCTAAGGACAACACCCTCACTTGCAGGTTTGTTATATCTGTGGTCCTTTCTATTGACATATTTCTGCCTAACTTAATCACTTCAGCCTAAACTGAACTCACGAAACGACTGTCAGCCTAAATGGGTGAGCGTCGGCCTCGCACGCCTGGGGTCCACGGCTCGAGTCGCCTACAGCCCAGGTGAATGGACTGTCAGCCTATGTTTTCATTATAATGTACGTTAGAACACAGTTTACAGCTGCAGCTCCGGGATCACAACGATAGAGGAAGCTTGAGGCGAGTGGCTCTTAACAACTGATAGTTCAATAATTAGTTCATTGTGTCGCGGGGACGTGCAGCCAGTATATACATTGAGTACATATTGGGCTTATATTGAGGTCCCCCTCCCTCCCCCCCCCCCCCCAGGGGCGATTTACTGACCCCCTCCTCCCCCAGGATGCAAGCAACCCCTCAATAAGGTGAATAGGTACTCTTGGGTACTAAGTAAATAGCTACTCCTGGGGTACTTATTTACCGGTTGGTGGACAGGGGCATTAGGTGGTAGGAAACGCGGTCAGTCATATTTGATCCGGCCGGAATTCGAACCCGGAATTCTAGATTTGTTGGTCGAGAAATAACCCGACTGTACTACCGGGATCTTTAAAGTTTCGTGTTTTTTTTTTTTTTTTTGAGATATATACAAGAGTTGTTACATTCTTGTACAGCCACTAGTACGCGTAGCGTTTCGGGCAAGTCCTTAATCCTATGGTCCCTGGAATACGATCCCCTGCCGCGAAGAATCGTTTTTTCATCCAAGTGCACATTTTACTGTTGCGTTAAACAGAGGCTACAGTTAAGGAATTGCGCCCAGTAAATCCTCCCCGGCCAGGATACGAACCCATGACATAGAGCTCGCGGAACGCCAGGCGAGTGTCTTACCACTACACCACGGAGACTGCCAAATAGTGTTCAAATATTCATCGTCGGGTGAGTCCCCAGCGGCTGAGTCTTCCCCTGGTGGGTATCCGGGCGAATTCTCGGAATGAATTCATCTTGTTAACGCCTTCGTGAATCATTGGCTCAGGTGAACAGCCATCAGAGTCAAGGTTCCTTGTCCTCATTCAGGTGAGAAACGGGTTCCCGTGCCCACTCTTACAACACTATACACATTTACAATATACCCATATGTCCCGCCCATAACCACACCCATACCCACACCATACCCATACCCACACCCACACCATACCTATACCCACACCATACCCATTCCACACCCACACAGTCACGGTGACGCTGACACGCACAGCAGCATACACACAACCCAAACACCAACCCTATTGTTCACTCCCATTCCCTCCCACTCCCACACCCATGCCTACACCCACTCCTCCCCCGGCGCCTACACCTGGCCCTACAGTTACACCCACATGAACGCCCACAACCGCACCCACAGCCAGGTCCACACACAGAGTGGTGCCGGATAGCCTTCATAACGGTACCAAACTCCGCTTCAATGTGTTGGCCTTATTTTTTTCCCCTGAAGTATCGTCATACCTTGTGAGTGAGCATGTTTATTGGTCTCTCTCTTACAGTGGCAAGGTTGTGGTGCTGGAGAGGGGCAGTGAAGGTCGTACCTTCTGTCACTCAAGCTTCTTTAACACTAATTATGTACTAGTCTCATTTAGGGCACTGTGTCGAAGACCTGGTAGTAAAGAAATATGCAGTTTTTTCTCATAGAATTCTTTAAAGTTTGCGAGACATGATTTGCTTCTTTGGTGTTTCATTTAAAGGCTCATCTCTCTTCGTATTCTTGCACCCTTTTCAGTCACCTTGCACGTTTTTTTAGTTTAGTTCATTTATTTTGCACCCCATACCCATCTTGTGGGCGGTAGGGGAAAGGGTTACAGAGGCACATAATGGGCTCAGGGACTGAACCCCACAATTCATTTAGTTAAGCAAGTTACAATCTTGATGAGTTAGTTAGAAAATTCAGTATAAGTCGTCACATCATCAATGGGTTCGAGATCGACCACAAATACAGTTTCTAAATTAAGCAACTGACATACGTGAAGAGTTAGTGTCCCAATTGATATGTTTGTCCTGCACACCGCCCCCCATCCAGTGGGCAGCGGTGGATAGGTTACAATCACTCAGTTACTACCTACAATTTGCAAACTGGGGATATTTGGCTAGAATTTCTGTTAGCAGATAAATTTGAATGAAATATTTACACATTGTTGGAATATTGGTTATAGAATTGTCTCTGAATTCACATATGTTTTCGCACTCCATCACTTAGTGACGGAGGGTGTGCGGATAATTTATGTATGGGCGTGTGTAAAATGTTCATATTGGCTCTCTCTGTGTGGTACTGTCATGTTTCCAGTGGCGTTGTGTATAGTTATAAGATGCTAGCACTGTAAGATGTCCTCTTCCTCTAAATATCAAGGACGAAATCTTGCCGATTCCCACAGCCAATGTCGTATTTAATTCCAGCCAGAATTTTCTTACTTTATCTCTGATAATCTCAGAGTCCTCCAGTGGCGCATTTTTCACACCCAGTTCAGGCAGCTTTCCCTGTTGTGTCCTCAACACCTTTTGGAACCGTCTGACGATTCCCTGAAATACATCTTTATCAGTCATTGTGAATGTGTCTTCAGATTCATTATGTATTTAGATATTGTTTTGACTTCCTGGTGTCGCTGGGGGGGGGGACCGTACGAGTTGAGTCCCTTCTTTGTCTGTCGTTCACATATTGCTTCTGCTTCTCTTCTCACTGTAATGTATTTATTCCTGTACTTCGCCCATGTCTTCATGCTCCCTTCAGTTTTACAACAGAAACAAACTTAACGGCTGCTTCCAAACACTTGTGGTGGTGTACGTGTGTACTTGCCTGTAAGTATTCATCTGCATATGCTTGCAGAAAGAGCATCAGCTCCTTGTCCCTGCCTTTCCGTCGCTGGTTGTCTAATAATGCTTCTTTATACACTTGAATGAATAAAGTGTGTGTGTGTGGTCTCACCTCCAATTACTATAGCAGAACAGTAATGTCTGTCAGCAGAGTATTCTCGCCTTTCTGTCAGTGTTGCACAGCAAAATTCTTACCGACGATCAGATCAACTTTAGAGTGGGTCGTTAGGTAATTTCTTCAACCTCAAAGTGAGATCGGCTGGTCAAAGTTCCTAAACTTGGACCGGTCCTGCTTATAAAATTTCAAATAGCCAGAGGATCAATATTGGCAGAGCACATGACGTGTTTCGGTCCCACCACAAGGAGAAACGCTGACACATGACGTCATAGATCTCTCATTGTATTTAATGGAACACGTGGACTCCTGTATGGCAACAATGGTCCAGCGTGCCTTGAGCTGATTTTTTTTTCAACTCGCCTTTTCATGTTTTTTTCTTTACAGATTCAGTCATCATCAGGTAATTCATTTAAGTGTGTGGTAGTCTGTTATTTATACTTATTTTTTACAAATAGTGGACGCTGGTTCTCTTTGGAATATAATATTTCTCAATGTCCATCTCGATCTATGTGACGAGTAAGCTTGTCCTTGCTGGCTGATCTTTCATGCCTTCTCCATGTTGTCTCATTGACACGTTATGTCACAGTTCCTTTATGACATTTCTACTAGCTATTCTCTCCCTATCTCTTCTTCCACACTTGGATACAATGCTTTCCAATCATTCAGGATGTAACAGAAATCTCCCATTACTTCCAGATTTGCTCCTGGTCTGTGAGTTGTATCTGCCACGCCTAATAGGATATTAATACAGGACCTGGTTTCTGTTTTGTGCATTTTTGCCTCTGTTTTGTGTGTTGTCGAAATGTAGATCATAGCTACCAGCACTTTTTTGCTTGCCATTAAAATGATTCCAATGATGGAGTCAAAGTAGTTTTATTTTTGTTCAATGATATTTCGTCTAAAGTTCTTCTTTTAACCAGCTACCTGGTAATCTCTGGAGAACATGCAGTAGTTATCATGCCAATTATTTTAGTCTTCAGTATTGCTATTACTATACATCATGGTTGGTGTCCTTAATTCTTATTACAGAGTTCATATGATATTTTATTTTCACACTCCATCGACACTGGTGTTCCAGATCCTTAAATTTTGAGTTATTCTCACTTCTGTTTTGTCAACTCTTAATTTGGAGTTGAGATGTGAGTTGAGATCACGTGTCGGAAAATATAATTTTCCTAATGAAGGGAAGAGCATGGATATTGATGTAGATGGATGACTGATCGGCGTGAGAAGTGCTATGGATTTTGATGATGATAGGCTGTTCGGCAGTGTTGGCAAACAGCCTAGCATCATCATCCAAGGTCCGCCTTCAGATCCTGGGGGTAGGATCTGAAGGCGGATCAGTGGTTTAATGTTGTCAGTCATGGATGTTGGTTGTCGCTGTGTCTCTGGTCGCTCTTGACGTGTTCTGGCTGCCTCGTACTCGACTACTGCAAAGTGTATTTGTAACCGTTGCTTCTGTGGCTGAGAAAGGAAGGAGGGCATGACGAGTTCTTGCCCCATGCATACGTGCATAAAGGCGATGGCTGGGAATGTAAGTACACATTTACCTGTGTGGTTGCAGATGTTGCATACCGGAGCCCGGGAGGAGGGTGTGTGTCCTGGCTGCCAAGGTCACCAGTGGTCACCTTCCCAGTGTTGGTGAAGGTGAACTTTCTCTATTTATTCTCCTGCTTCTAATTCTTCGCCTTTATTCATTCTGCTGTTTCTTCTTCGAATCCTTATAGCTAGTTAGTTTATGATTAATCTTATTTGCTTCAATTGTTTCCTCTAGTTCTTCTATTATTTGTTTTTCCTCTAAATATACTCTTTATTTATTTATTCAAAAAAAGTCTTAATATTTTTCTTCTAAATTAAAATTCTTAAAAAATCGTTTACATTTTCGTATACATTCTCGTAATTGTTTACCAACGGGTTTATATAATTATTCTTCTTCAGACTTTTATTCAATTTACATGTAATTCATACGTCTTTAGATTTTTCTCTTTCGTCTTCCTACATTTCTTCAACTCCTCCTCCTCCTCCTCCGCCTGGCCCGAGCATCAGCAAGACCCGCCGTCCGTCTTCCTTACGTTGGTTACTTTACATCCTGCTGGGGCTGATCTCTAGTTTATGTGTCTGTTTTTCCAAACATTTATTACCTTACTGCATGTGTAGGCCCGAGCTCCTGTTCCTGCTGTAAGTCCCGACCCGTTTTCTTTTGTCATATATGTTTTTCATAGAATGGCTGAAGGTAGCCTATTATATACCTTACAACATCAAGTTACGTATCGTATGCATATCATAGCTTATAGTACTATTGTGGGACTCTACTGTTGACATTCCCCCGTTATGCTTACATGGAACAGTGTTAAATGCTTTCTGAGAGGCCAATTGTATGCAGTCCTAACTTGTCTGAGTGTGTGAGTCATTCTATCGTTCATTTTAATAGGTTTATCATGTATGACTTCTCTGAACACTTGTTAGTACTTTGTTACAAAGTTAATCTTGTCTAGGTGCTAGATTATTCTCAATAGTATTCTCTCTAGCACTAAGCATGATATGCTGGTTAAGAACAGTGGTCTGCAACTCGGTGATTTGTCTCTTCTTGTATATTGGTGAGGTTTGCGCCTCCTTTCAGCTATTTGACATCATTCCTGTCTGCAGTAAGGTACTGGAAATCTTTGTAACTTGCACATGACTTTTTTTTTTTTATTTTATTAAGTTATGAGGTACATCTGCATTAGTGCAGCTACCCTAGACTATATGAAGTGGAGTACAGTGTGTCAAAAAAAGCTAACTAGGTGATGCTATAAAATCCCCATCACACAGGATGGTTAGTCATACAGAGACATGTGATAGGCGGTCTGCACTGGCAGACTCCGGATGCATTTTGAGGATATCAACAACACAAGATTGAATAAGGTAGCAGTGGTAATACAAGTCCCCATCTCGCAGGATGGTTAGTCATACAGGGCCATGTGTTTAGTAGCTTGCACTGGCAAATTTTGGGTATACTGTGAGGATATCTTCAAGAATACGAGAGTGAATAAAGTAATTGCAAAGCTCCAGGTACCTCATGCCAACTGGTCTGAAAGGTCTAATAACTGGGCATTCAGTGATGTAGTGCGGGAGATCATGCCGTAGTTCCTGCTCACAGAGTTTGCAACTGGAGTGCTCAGGATTGGGAGACCCGTCACCTGCAGCCACCTGCCACAGGTAACGGTAACCCAACCTGATCCTTGCAACCACTGTGTCGCACAGTCTAGTGGACGTTTTGTGCTGTCCATAGACTTCAGCAGATTTTTCTTTTAAATCCACGGTGAGATCCTGCCAGGTCTTACAGGTTTTGTTTCGTCAGTTCTCTGGATCAGAGCCCCGTCGCTGCCTGTCACTACTCATTTACTCAGACATTCCCTGCCTTGTTAGGTAGTTATTCCTTCTCTACTTTGAAGATCTCTTGGAACATTTATTTTATCTCTTCATATATTTCCATATCATTTGATGTAACTGTCCACTTCTTTTGGTAACCCTCATCACCTGATCGTTTATTTAAGTGTTCTGCCTGAAGTGGCCATGTTGTTGTTGTAGTTATATGGGTTGGTCTTTTCCTTTGGAGGCTATGTATTTCTCTATTTGTATTACGTGAACATGCTCGTTTCCTTTTTACACGTATTAATGTGTGTGTACTCACCAAACTGTGCTTGCGGGGGGTTAAGGTTCGGCTCTTTGGTCCCGCCTCTCAACCATCAATCAACTGGTGTACAGATTCCTGAGCCTATTGGGATGTATCATATCTACATTTGAAACTGTATGAAATTTGCCTCCATCACATCACTGCATAATGCATTCCATTTGTTAACTATTCTCACACTGAACAAATTATTTCTAATATCTCTGAGGCTCATTTGAGTACTCAGTTTTCACCTGTGTTCCGTTGTGTGAGTACCACCCGTGATAAGTGGTACGTCTTACGACTAAAAGAGATGTCCCCGATAATGTCTTCTTTGATGAGGTGTTAGTCCTGCAGCCTTCAGCGCATCCTGGTGTTCAAGGTGACTTACTTCAGGGATGGTTTCAGTTAACTTGCGCTGATTTATTTATTTGTTTGAAGTAGCGTCCTCCTGCAGAAGGTGACGGCATGTCTGACGTATGTTCCCACCTTCTTTCGGAACTACAGCGCATATTTACCCCAGGCGCCCAGTGCTCTTATTGGTACGAGACCTGTAAAAGGTCCCTATATTTATTGGTTTTCTGGGTCTCCCTGAAAGTGGGTGCTTCGCCTCCTTCAGCTCTACTTTTTATTTGGTATTTTACGTCACTTCCAGATGGAGGGAAAGTAGGATACAGAAGCGGAGGAGGAGAAGAGGAGGGGAAGGAGAGAGGAGGAGGAGGAGGAGGAAGAGAAGCATCACGTGGAGGGGGTAATACTCTGTCATTATCATAATTATGAGAAGATATTATGGTAATAGGATGGACTGTACATGAGCCTCTCTACTCCCCAGACACTCTTACGGTCCACAAGGGAGTCCAGGGATGGCAATATATTTTACAATAGTTGTTCGTTATTTCACTGAATCATTATCATCATTCACCTTCATAATTATCATTATTATTATCAATCACTATCACCATC